CATAAAATATTCAAGTACAAAAGTCAAGTTTTACCATATATACGTTGAGGTATTTATTATATCAACACTCTTCAATTGTTGGCAACAGAGTGTACCACATTCAAACTCAAACGCGAGCTTAAACCTTTACGACAACCTGTTGACAGTGACTTCGTGCACGACTGTCGCCTATCGATAAAAAAAATACTCAATCGCACCTGTTAGAAGAACAACATATCTCGATCTTCCGTTCCAACTCTCAGCAATTGAACCCACCCTCCTCGTCCCCCAATCTTTCGGACCCTCATAACCTAGTCTGCAAGTGGTTATGTCATTCGATGTTTTTCGACGTGCAAAGGGGTAATATTTGAAATGTCAATTTCCGCCAACGCAATTCGAACCTGTAACTAACCAACACAATGCACGAATTTACGACCAAGTCAAATATCATTTGCACTATTGGTGTGTAAGTGGTTTGCATCAGTCAACGTCCGCAAGTCACCCACCAGACTTTATTCATTGAGCTATGCCACCTACCAGACTATAGCATTCCACTTATGAGTGAACCCATAGTTTGTTTGACCCTATTTTATTTTTGAATGTCACATGGAAAAAACGTTTGACCGAGGATGTTCCTTATAAATTGCAATAAGTTCATGTTTAGTTAAAAAATGTTTGGACATCCTTCTGAATTAAAAAAAAATTGTGTGCAGATGATAATTATAAAATTTATTTTATTCCATTGCATTTTGTCACATGAAATCAAAGAAGTGAGAAAACTTATATATATATATATATACAATTTCACCAGCCCGTACATACGGAGGTCCCCGGGCAGACCTTCGTACGTACAGGCGTTCGGGGTTCCGTATGGGGTCTGAACCCGACGACGTTCGGACCCTGCCAAAAAATATTTCGGGGTTTAAAAATAATTATTTTTTTCTGCATGTTTTTTTGTAAGTTCTCTATGACGTGAGGTACACATCTGTAAATTTTCAAGTCATTTGGCTAAGCCAAATAAGAATTAAAAATCGCCAAAGATAGCGGTGTCCTCATATTTTTTCACTTTTTACTTTTTGTTTTCACTTTAGTTCGGGGTCTAATTATTATTATTTTTTTTTGAAACTTTTTTAGTGGCTTTTGTATTATGTGAAGTACACATCTGTAAATTTTCATGGCATTTAGCTATGCCAAGAAAAGAAAAAAAAATCGCCAAAGATGGCGGTGTCGAAAATATGCTATCGCACTCACTAAATTTAATTCTCTTTTTATTTTTATTATTAATATTTATTTTCAGTATTTTTTTTTTTTTCAAATTTGATAAGGAATTCGGATGTAATGCTCAGGCAAATCTTGTTTAATTTATTTTTCTATATAACGTATTTTGTTTTCATATTTTTTTAATGACTTTTTTTTTTTTTTTTTTTTTTTTTTTTCGGCCGAACGCATCCCTAAGGGGTCCCATACGTTCGGGCGTTCGGGTTCGGGTGTTCGGCCCGTCCCGAACGCCGGTTACCATATATATATATATATATATATATATATATATATATATATATATTTATGTATGTATATATATAGATATATTGATATATATATATCGTCGCAAACATATATATATATATTGATATCTATATACAGAGGCCCCTAAGCTGACCCCCGAACATTCGGGCGTTCGGGTCCCCGTACGCGGCCCGAACATGAAAGGGTTTGGACCCCGCAAAAAAATATTTTGGTATCTGAATATTGATAGTTTTTTCTGAATTTTTTTGTGTGAGTTTTTTGTGATGTAAGGTATCTCCTTGTTAATTTTAAATTTCTTGTGTTCAGCCAAAAAAAAAAAGTAAAATCAGCAAAGATGGTGGTGTCAAAACTTCCTTGCCCACTCGCTAATTTGTTTTTTCTCACTTCTGACGTTTTGTTTTTCCTTTATTTTGGGGCATGAAAAAAATATTATTTTTTAAAAATTTATTTATAAACTCTCTATTATGTAAGCTAACATGTATGTAAATTTTCATGGCATTTGTCATAGCAAAAAAAAAACGAAAAATCGCCAAAGATGGTGGTGTAAAAAACGTGCTCGCCCCCCTCAATAATCTCATTCTCGTTTGTTTTCCCCTAATTTTTATCATTATTATTTATTTTTAGTAGCTCATTTTTATTTCAAATTTGGTAAAGAATTTTGATGTAACGTTGAGGCAAATGTTATTTAGTTTATTCTTATGCATAACACATATTGTTCCCTGATGTGTTGGATTTTTTTTTTTTTTTTTTTTTTGTCCGCTTTCGGCCGTACGGCCGAACGTGTCGAGAAGGGTTCCCCAACGTTCGGGCGCTCGGGTTCGGGCATTCGGTCTGTCCAGAACGCCGACAACCCTGTATATACCCTCGTTTGTTGTCCTTTTCTCTCTCTCTGCCTACAGTTTTACCGGGCAGTTCTGTTTGTGACGATATATATATATATATATATATATATATATATATATATATATATATACCGGGCAGTTCTGTTTGTGACGATATATATATATATATATATATATATACTTCTCCCTCTCTGCCTACGGTTTACCGGGCAGTTCTATTTGACGATATATATATATCGTCACAAACAGAACTGCCCGGTAAAACCGTAGGCAGATATATATATATATATATATATATATACTTGTAAAGTCGCAATATTGTTCGTTTTATTTTTGTCTTTACTCTACACATACTTGAATTTGTCTTTCTAAAAACAATTTATTGTTAGAATATAGTACTTCACCAACGAGTTTTTGTAACCTATATTTATCATAATGAAAAATTTGTTGGTTTAACAATCATAGTTTCACCTTGTGGGTGAACGAAGTTCAAAATTTAGTAATATTACGTTTTATAGCTCGAGTCACGGTTCAAATAATTAATATACTTAAAAGTTTTATACGTTTTGTTTTTCTTATGGGTGAAATGTATATTCGGATGAAACTTTGTATTGCATGATTTGCTCAAATCCACACTTATAAAGGGAAAAAAAACATATGGTATTAAGCATACACATTCTACAAAAAAATATAATAAATAACATGATAGATCAACTCATAAAGTTAAAACCATCCGAGTTAAACTGCTCATTTGCTGGATTTAAATCACGAGGGCTTAATTTTATCTTATCTAACGTTAATGTTATTTGAATTACGTGATTATCATATCGACTCTAAGTTTCGACTTTGTCGATTGTATAATATATTATTTGAATATTTCAATATTTTGACTCGATCAGATACGTATGTACAAATATTTGATTGTTACGGATACCACCTTTTAAAATTGTGTACAAATCTTAATTGTTAAAATGATTTTCAAGTTTTGTTGTTAAAACCACGAGTCATATATAAGGGATTAAAATCATTTGTGGTTTTACATTTGGTTAAAACATTCCTCGTCAACTGATGTTAGCTTTGTACTAAGGAAATCAATATTTAAAACTAAAATGATGTTCGTATTTTAAGGAATATTTTAACCACGTGTATCTATACTACAAATAAATAAGTAATGCTCTCGGGTAATCTAGATGCATGTAGTAATTTTCGTACGTGACTTAGTAGCTCGGTAGGGACACCTCCGTTAGGATGATTACAACTCCTTAGGGAAGAGAAAAGTGCCTCGTGATAACTAGTCTTGTCGAAAGGGACTATGCGAGGTACGACAAATGCAGCTGACCAGAGTAGTGAAATTACGTTTTCCCCTTTATTAGACGACGTGGGATTGTATTGTTTTATGACCGAAACTCTTGTATGACGCTTTGGGGAGAGATTCGTACCAAAAACTGAGAGCGGATTAACTCGATTATGCCTGTAGGCAGGTAGTTTTTTGTCTCATCGATTAACTAATTTGTGTTGGTCTTGATACTACGATCGTTGTCACTAATGCCCCCATCCGAATTTTGAATTTGAGTCTTGTTAATTTAAACCACCGAGCCCCCCGCCACCCGAAACCCCTCGGCCCGGTGAGCTAGGGCCGGGTTGTACGGAGGGGCAGCGACCACCGTTCGTCACAGGCGGGTCCAATCCTTCCATTTGCAAGCGGCAACTTTGCCGATTTTTTGTGCTCAGAAGAATTAATCAAAAGGTCTGCAAATTTGAGGGTCCGGAGATTAGATCGTGATTTTTCAGGGAAAGATATCAGAAAAAAAAATATGACCGTCAAATATTTGCTACGCCGATTTTGTGCATTTTTGCAAAATTCTATTTTTTCAAGCCCGCTTGGATTTTCACTCTGTACTACCGGTACCCCTGAAATTTCCGACACACGTCAGGGGGACTAGCGATACCCCCGAGGTTTCTGACGTCAGGGTGACCGGTGGTTTAACCGCCGTGCGAAATTCAAATCATGTCGTTCTATCAAGGCTTCCATATGGACATTTGAGGCGTTTGCTTGACCAGAGCAGTAACTATCTGTTGCATTCATTGGCACGAACCGCTAGTGCACCTTTCCAACGTTTTCTCAAAGGTAGTTTTTAGTATCAGATGAATGAGAACTGCATTCAGTACTTTTAGGTGACCAATTCCGAAAATCGCGGTTGCATGCACAACGCAATGTTATGGGATGAAGGGGCACGGGGCATTGACATAAATTCATTGAAGTGGAAACATTGCGGCAGTGTAGCAATTGTTGATTGTATGCAAGATGTGGCTTCCAAAAGGCCCTTAGCTACCGCCCTTACCCAAGTTCGTTTGAATTCTATGCCGTTCCCTTGGAGGTTGATACCTTTTTCCGAATACATCTCGAACCCCATCTTACATGAAAAACTATGTGGGCTACCGTGATCACTTCGGACCTGAAGGACCTCGGGCTGGTCTGGAGTGAAAACTTAGTGGGCTACTTTGGTTACTTCGGACCTGAAGAACCTTGGCCCGGTCTGAAAAGTCTTACAGATCTGCCGTGGGCTAAAGCAGGGGTTTTGGAACCCAACGAGGCTCCCATGCTCGTCGTCCCGTCATAGTTTCCGTGCTCGCTGGTTTTCCCGGCACTACCGGGTAGGGGCAGAAAAGTCCGAGGGCCATCTGCCAGGCAGACCGGCTATCCATCCGGTCGAAGGTCGCCACGCAGAAGGTTGATTAGTTTGGTTTTCCTCGTCTCCTATCTCCTTCCCCTGCTTGGGACCGGTCGCGTATCGCCGGACTTGTCCAGGCGGAAAGTGTTTTTCCAATATTTGGCCTACCAACAGCCGTCCCTTTCCTTTTCGCCGACACGCCTTTCTCTCTGCTCCTCCCCTCCTCTCCACCCTAGCCCAGAGTCACGCAGCGGCGACAAGTCTGCAGCCATGGTGACTGGTTCAGGCGTATGCGCGAAGGTGGTGGTGGTGGATGCGCGACACCACATGCTAGGGCGCCTTTCGTCGATCCTCGCCAAGGAGCTTCTCAATGGACAGAAAGTGGTGAGTGCAAAAGCCGTCGAGATGACGGCGACAAACTCTGTGTTTTTTTTCATTCTTGTCGTTGTTGTACTCGCAGTTTTCTGTTCTAATCATCCCTTTCCCGGGATCATTTGTCTGTTTTCATGTCTTTTTTTTCACTCCTCTGACGTCTCTTACCATGCAGTACTCATTTTCGCCGATCTTGTCGCCGCGTCCTCTTCATCCTCGTCGCCCATCTACCTCGTCTTTCTTGTCTTGTATCTTCTTTCTGCTTTCTTCATTCGTCTGTCCAACCCTGCCTTTTCCATGATCCTCTCGGCTCAGCCTTACGCGTTTTCCGTCGTGTCATCTACTTTCTGATTCCTCCGTCTTGCCTTGTCCCGCCTCTCCTTCTCGTCATTCTCTCTGTATTCTGGGTTCTCTTGATCTTTGCCCTTGCCATTCCTCCCTGTCCTCGCTCTCTGCCGTCTTTTCCTCTCCGCCCTCTGCCGACGCCCTTTCCTCTCCTCCTGCCGTCACTCCATTCCTCTCCTTTGCCAACGTCATTTCCCATCTCCCAGTTCTTTCACTGCCGTGTTCCCCATCGCCGTTTCTCTGCGTTTCCTCTCTCCTATCCTGTCTCCCTGTTCTCATCCGTCTCTCACTCTTCTCTCCGGCTTCTCTTTCTCTTCTTTCCTCCTTTTCCTCTTCTCTACCCTTTCGCCGGTTTTGCACGCCTCCTTCCCAATCTTCCTTCTGTCCGTCTCCCTCTGCTCGCCGTCTTCTCTACTCCCCCGCCTTGTCTCCGAGCCTCGTGTCACCAACCTTTCTTCTCCGTCTTTTGTCCTCTTCCCTTCATCTTCTCTCCCTTCTCTTCCTACTCCCATTTCTTCGTCTTTCCCTCCTCTGTTCTTCCCCTTCTCTCCCTTCTCTCCCTTAGTCCGTTTATCCATCATTTTTCTCCTTACTCTCCCTCTTCTCTGCCTCCTCTCCTCTTCCTCTCCTCTCTCCCTCTCCTCTCCAATCTCCCTCTTCTTCTCTGCCTCTCCCCTCCCTTTTCTCTCCATAGTCTTTTCCCACTCCTCGCCCTCGTTGTTCCTCCGGTCGTCTCCTTTCCCAATATTGTCTCCCATCTTCCGTCTTTGTCGTTTCTCTTCCTTTCCCGTGTCTTCTTCTCTTCATCGATCTGTGTTTTCTACACTCTCCCGGCTTAATCGCACGGTTTCCTAGGTGCCCTTTTTCTTGCTCTGATTGCTATCACGCCCGCGCCCTATTCTTTGCTTTATGATTAGTCCGCTTTTCACGTTTAAAAATTTGTACTTATCCATGTGTCCCCTAGTTTTCATGTGTCCCCTAGTTTTGTTCCTTCTCTACTACTGTCCTCGGCGAATACCTTGTCTGCTTCTTTTTAGGAGTTGTTTCGACTTCAGTCAGTCGAATGGAAATGTGCGTTCTGAGTGGATGTGGGCGAAATCGCGGAATGTTTTTCCTCTTTGCGAAGCGATTGGCCGTTTTTCAGCCAGAGTTTTGTGTTTTTGCTGTATTTCAGAAGTGGAATCACAACGAACGCTTGTAGTTCGACGAGTCGAAAACCCCCGTCGATGACTGCGTTTTATAGTGATAGCGGATTTCAGAGCATCACAGTGTGACGTGCATCTCGGTGGCACCAGTGCATGTTCTGTGCCATTCTTAGCCCTGCTGTAATGGGATGAGTGGGACATTCGTAGCCTGCTGTAATGGGACGAGTGGGACATGGTACTCTATTGGAGTGGTGGAAGGCCAGTGTTTATCAGTGGGAATTTATATAGCGGGTAGACGAGCGAAAAAATACAGTCGGGGTATCATTTTAGGGTTTGGTTGGACGGCAGAGTACACCGTGGTGGGACGTCGTTTAGGGTTTGTAGCAACGGTTCAGAAGTATGTCCTCGTAAATATGTTTCTTCACCTAGCAGAGTGAGCAGGGACATTAATGGCATTTGTCCCCTTCGTTCGAAGATAAAACTCTTAGGAGTACGGGAGTTGAAGCCGTTGACCTGTGATCAGCGAGTATACGTCTTCACCCGAAAAGGACGTCGGCCTAAGAGCGTGCTTAGGTACTTGTCTTTTTCGTTGGAAGGGAGCATTCAGGCACGGGAGTTAAACCTGTGTGATCACCAAGTATACTGTCTTCATCCGACATGAACATCCGGTCTATAAGAGCGCGTTTAGGTAACTGGAATTAAATTTATGATCAGCAGGTATAGTTGACATGCCAGCGTGGTCGAGTTATGTCGACTGGGCCATCTCAGGTATGATGCAGTGGACTGACTCCGAGATGCAAGCCCGCCTGTAGGTTTTGGAATTCCATCGAGTGGAACCCTTTTCGTTTTCACTCTCTCACCTGTTTGGGCCCCTTGTTTTCGATTAAAGCACCACTACGCACATCAGCCCGCGGGTGTCAGCACGAAACCCGCACCACTTCAGAGGCCGCCGATTTTTTTTTCAACGGCGCCCCACGCCGCGCGGCCCCTCCGAGTTTTGCTTGTGGCGAAAAAACTTTTTGCAAGGCTGGGGCCGTGTACTTGCGGTTTAAGCGGGTAGTGCTTCCCGTTGTGAATACCGCAACAAGCTTTGAGAGGGTACCCACCTGTACGTTACTAGGTCGACGTGTTCGCTGTTCAGCTACAAGGCAGGTGCACGGCGCAATAGTCTACCTACCTGTAGACGAGCATCTCGACGTTTGCGATACCCGCTAGTGATGCTTCAGGTCTGTTAAAGACTTGATTGCAAGTCTCGTTTTTCTCTCTTTGTTGCCATGCTATCTCCTATGCTGCTATGGCTCCCTCGCGCGCGACTACCCCTCGATGGCTGCTTGCCTTCACACTGTAGACGAGCCAGCTTGGCAGTTTGTGTTTCTAATTATTAGTTTTTAATAAAAAAAGGAAAATATAGAGGATCCTCTGTCCGTTTGTCGTGTCGTTTGCTCCCTTGTTGTCGTCTTTTTCTCACTTTACATGACATGTCGCTCATGCATGCTCTGCAGTTGTGATTGGTGATGGATATAGACTTCGCTTTAATAGACTGCCACGTTATCAGTCGTTTTGCGAGAAAAGTGTATTCCTTGATGGGTCCTTGCAATTCCGTAACAACGGGAAAAGTCTATCCCTCGATGGATCCCTGCATTCCGCGTCAACTCGGCGCTAGTCGTCTTGTGGGCCGCTGTTTCGTTCACAGAGGAGGATTTGTCTCTCTTGCTTTCAGGATTGGATTAGTTTTCGGGTCTCAAGTGTCATCCTTTTAAAGGGATCACGTTATCTCCTTTGTGTCATTCATTCCGTATTTGACGAATAATCGCCTGTGTATCGTTCTTCCCAATTCGACGAATCTCTGAACGAAGAAGTCTGAAGGAGCAGCAGTACGTTGAGCATGTCTTCCGTTTTTTAAGATTTGTGCCTGCGATTGTATTGCGGATCAGTATGTAGAGAATTGTTGTGTTGGCAAAATGTTACCAGAGTCCCATTTGGTCTCGTTTTGGTGGAGGACTGTTGAAGTCTGAAGGAGAGAAGCAGTGCGTTGAGCATTGGTTGTAAGCATGTCTTCCGTTTTTTAAAATTTGTGCCTGCGATTGTATTGCGGATCAGTATGTTGAGAATTGCTGTGTTGCCAAAATGTTGCCAGAGTCCCATTTGGTCTCGTTTTGGTGGAGGACTGTGTTGAAGTCTGAAGGAGAGGAGGAGTGCGTTGAGAATTGGTTGTACTTTTTGATGATTTGTGCTTGCAATCTTGTTGTTGTATTGTCGACAAGTATTTAGAGAATTGTTATGTTAGAAGAGAGTGCCATTTGGTATTCTTCCTTTTGATGGAGGACTGAGGGATGATCTCCTGTGTATCATTGACTCACAATTTGACGAACTCGTCTGATGTAATGTCAGCTTTATGGAGGGCAGAAGTACGTTATGTTATTGTGGATGGGTATGTCTTCTACTTTTTGGGAGGTTTGTGCTTGCGATCGTGTTGTTGTATTGTGGATGAGCATGTAGAGAATTGTTTGGTCTCCTTTTTTTTTTATGGACTGAGGGACGATCGGTGGACTTTCGTTTGCTGATGGGCAATTTGAGTGCAGGTGGTCGTACGATGCGAAGAGATCACACTTTCTGGCGGTTTGGTTCGGCAGAAGATGAAATTCCTTCGCTTCTTGAGAAAGCGTATGAACACCAAACCGAGCAAGGGTCCTATTCACTTCAGGTCCCCTTCTCGTATTCTCTGGAGAACGATCCGTGGTATGGTCCCTCATAAGACGAAGAGGGGAGCAGCAGCGCTGGACAGACTGAAGGTGTATGAGGGTGTTCCTCCCCCCTACGACAGGATGAAGAAGATGGTCATTCCTGATGCTCTGAAGGTTCTTCGTCTCGCGCCCGGCCACAAGTTTTGCAAGCTTGGACAGCTCTCGGGCGAGGTTGGCTGGCATCACGGAGAGACCATCGATACTCTGGAGGCCAAGCGTAAGGATAAGACCGGCAAGTACTACAAGTTGAAAAAGGAGCTGATCAGGAGAAGAATGAAGGCTATTGCTGCCGTTGAGCAGAAGTTCCCTGAGATTAAGAAGGTTCTTGAACCCATCAGTTACAAGCCTATTGTGGTGTAGACGTGGGAATCTCTCTCAATCGAAAGGGGGAACAGTAGAACGTCAATTTGGCGGGGAAAGCAGAGCATGGAAGGGGTGAGAGATTGAATGCAGGGGATTTGAACTGAGTACTTCTTTCGTCCAAGCTGCGTCGATGAATTTTGACGGGGTGGTTTATTGATGACGACTCCTTGAGCCGGGTAAGAAGCAGCGGTTTGATTCAGTCGCAGGCGGTGGTGCTTAAACGCTTGTAGAGACCTTGTAAGAGTGAGAGTGCCAGCCTTGGACTAAGTCATCTGCCCCGCTCCCTGAACCTAGTTTAGCCCGTCGTTGAGAGGTATGAAGGACGTAAGAAAAAGCGTTACGGGGCGGCTGTTGGTCGCTGCCGTACGGATTCGTGGAATTGGGCCCATTTGGCATGGGACGGAATCGCGTTGACGACATTTGTGGACCGAAGAATGTTTCGCTGTCTCTGTCCTGATATCGCTCATCAAAATTTTGTTTTCACTTCTGTTACCAGGGTTTTGTTAGAAAAGCGAGGATGGCAGTGAGTGTGTGTACCGTCTGCTCTCCTTTCGTTTAATAACTATTCCCTTCCTCTTCTCGCTTTTCCCTGGTCTACTCTCCTTCCTCGTTACTCGTCTGCGTTTTCTTCTTCTTGCTACTTCCTCTTCTGTTGACCCTCTTTAGTTGAACTGCTCTTCCTTCGTCTCCGTAGCTTTTTTTGCTTCTCGCATTTTTCTTGGTCTTGTCTTCTTCCTCGTGTTACGCCCCGTCTCCGTTTTCTTGGTGCTACTTCCTCTTCTGCTATCCCTTTCTTCTTCTTGCTGCTACTTATGCTATCCTTCTTTTGTTGAACCGCTCCTCCTTTGTCTCCGTCGCTTTTTTTCCTTGTTGCCTCGGACTTTTCGTTTCGTCTTTCCCCCCTCTCCTCCCTTTGTTGTTCTCTTTGGCAATGATTCTTTCTTTCTTGATCTTTATGATGGTTTGGTTGCCCTCCTTTTCTCGTACGGTTCTCGGTGGTTGGATGATCGGTTAATAATCGATTGAACCGACGATGTTTGTTGTTTCTTGTGCCTACCCTGGAAGCTTTGGAGTATAACGTCGAAACGTTTTTATCGCAGTTGAAATCAAAGAGGCGTGAGCAACATAATTGGTGCAAAGGACGACATCCTTAACAGGCAATCGCTACTCATTCAACACGGTTGGCAATCCCTGAAACCTCACGGAAGACGAAGGCCAAGTTCGGCGGTATCCTTTGTCTTACATGAGGTTGCAGGGATTGCCTACCGTGTTCACCCAGCATGGGAAGTGGCGGTCTCCTCTTTGCATTTTATGCAGAATGCAGAGATATTCGATTGACCTAACCTTCTGTTTGCGGGTTGACTGTTAATAATCACTGTGGCTTTCGTCTCTTTGTCTCTCTCTCTCTCTCTATCGCTGTCGCTGTCCTCAGGTGTCATCCGAAAGCCTTACGGCTAGAACAACGTTTTTCCCCACAGTTACGTTTGGTTTTTTCTCCCCGTCAGGTCAACTTCTCATCTCATTGTTCTCAGAAAATCTTACGACTACGTCAACCCTTTTCCCCACAGTGAATTGTTTTTTTGTCCCCGTGACGTCTACTTCTCGTATCGTTGTCCACTGAAAACCTTATGGCTTGGTCACCCTTTTTCCCCAAATTTACTTTTTTTTTTTCCTTTCCGTCAGCTAACTTCTCGTCTCATTGTTTTCAGGAAACCTTACGGCTAGGCCGACCCTTTTCCCCACAGTTATGTACTTTTCCTCCCTGTCACGTTTAGTTGTAGGCAGCATTGAGTTTTTGTCAACCAGAGAAATGAGAAACAAAGACGGGTGCCCTGCCGTTTCTTGTGAGCGCTTCGTTCTCGTCGTCTTGCGCTTTGTTTCCCCCCTAAATGCCCTATTACGCCTTACACCTACTCTATCGCCTTCATCCGAAGGATAAGCCTCTTCACCCGCACAGAACGCCTTGTCATCATCGCCGTATCTAGATGGAAACATGTCCTATATACAGATGTAATGACCGGGCGTTCTATTCGGGTGAAGACGGTATCTTCTCCACCTAATGTGAGGCAAGTAGGTACTTAGTGCGAGGCATTCAAAATAATGGGAGAGGAGAATAGCGTAGTGAATACAGCTGTCTTGCATGGGAGGAGAAGATAAATGTGGAAAAAAACGAAAAAAAAAGAAAGAGCGCACGGTTATTATTGCGGCATCTGGACTGAAATTTTTGCCCCGAATACAGCTTTTATTGATGTGGCGGTCTGTTCGGCTGAAGACGGTAGGACTTTCCCGCATGTATCTGACCGCAATTACAAGTTCATCTGTATGTCCTTCACCAGTAGTTGTTGGGCCACTCGCGTTCGTGTGCTTGAAAGCCGTATGAATGGGCTGTACGCGGGCTTTCCCCCTCTAACGGGTGAAAGATGGTAGCATCTTTGCTGCTGGAAACGGAGGTGCAGGATGCATCTCCACTACAGTAGTGATGCAATTTTGCACTCCTGAAAACGAAGTTGTGGCTGCCTTTCAGGAATTTCAAAACAGGTGGCAGCGAACATGCTGGCCCATAACCACGTATTGCTTATGAATTTCATGGTAATTCAATCTCTTCGCAGCATCTAAAGTATGTATTGCCTTGGGCCGAATCTTTCCCTTGTTTACTACGGGGGATTGGTGAACTCAGTTGATACGGTCTTTGCGCTGGTATCGGTCTTTTGGTGAAACTGCATTCGACGCCATTGCATAGCAGCAATGATGGGCGGCCCACAACTAAAGACAGGCATCTCGTCTGTGTATTTGGGCATCTTTCAGTCTCCATTCAGCAATACCCGGTAAGCAATCAACCCGAGTGCAGAGTAGCTGGGTATCCAGCCTAGAGTCGGTTGCTTGCTTTCGATGGGGGTCTTGTCCGTGATGGCTGAAAGAAAATAGATCCCTCCCTTTCTGCTCGCCACGCCAAGTCGTTTTTTTTTCCTCCGACAAGTTTGCCGTGTGTGGAATCTGTTAGCTGCCATTCCTGCATTCTTCTGATGCCATTTGAGCGTTTTATACTTGCCGCCTCCACGAAGGATTCTGAGGAAAAGGTGTACCAAAGACCAGGTAGGTCCCCCTGTTGGAGCCTTGTGGGATTGCCGCCCTAGCGAGTTCGCAGCAGTGATTGTCCTCTTGCAATGCTCTTCCTGTGTCCCATGGGTGAGCTGCATCTTTTGACCGTATGTCCTCCCTTTCAGCCCGGAGATTCTTGAAGCCTTGCGGGGCTCCTCCACTCTCCGAAGTCATTTTACGCAGATGGTAGTTGGTCTCAATCTTACATGCCCGTGTATTCTGACCATATACCAGCGGTGTGCAGGATCCCCCCCCCCTTTGAATGCTCACGCTTTCGATCGCACCTCACTGCCTTGTCTCTGGCACGGAATGGTTCCTGAGCCTGACTGCAAGGCAGCATTGCCCTGTCTCTGGCTGGGAACGGTTCCTGAGCCTGGCTACACTCCGTCGTTAGCAACGGCCGGCTGTTGCAAGATTTCTGCGGTAGTTGTGGGCTCCTGATGCACCTTTGGGCATATTTTTGGAACAGCTGCGTGACAGTAGTTCCGAGTGTGATCTCCTGGCTGCAAGAGTCTAGGTGGCTGCTCCACATCTGCTTAGACAGATCGCTTAGCTGCAAAGGGAGACTCATGGTGTCTTCTCATGTGTGACCCTCTTCTGGGCTTGTGTCCATGCTCTACTAGCTGTAAGGGTTTAGGTGGCTGATCCACAGCCTGCTTGGACCAGTCACATAGATGCCAAGGGAGACTCACTCGTGGTGGCTTTCGTCTTCCATGTGTGATCCTCTTCGGGCATATGTACCCTCGTCCTGCTGGTCGAAGATACCTAGTCTGCGTTCATTCTTGCATGTGATGCAGCCTTTGAGATTGACTGCTTGATCCTCCCTCTGCAGCGTTTTCTGCGAGAGAAGGTCGATGTTGTGATGCGCAGGGCTCTCGACCACGTGGTTGATCGTACAGCTCTCTGCAGTTTTTGCTCGGATGCATGATCTCTTCGGGCGGAACTGTTGATGCCAATCTGGCTTGGCAAGTTGAGTTCTCTATTGTTTGATTGGTCGCCAGTTGCCCTACTCTAACAGCTCCATTCTGTCGTCTCCTTGTCCGTGATCTGCAGTCAGGGTGCTTTGCTTGTACCTGACTTCTGAAAGCTCACCACAGGTTACTGCTCCGTGGAGGATGGGGAGGATGGGGAGGATGGGGAGGATTTGGAGGATGGGGGGGATGGGGAGGAGGGATTGAACCACCGGAAATCTCGAGTGCCTCGCGCTGTGCTTGGCGAGTGTTCCACCTTTGCTAGAGTTGAGGTAGTCTACTACTTTGCTTTTGTCCAAAATGAGATTGCCGAATGGTGGGAGGCGTGGCCCCTTTGCAGAACAAGCTTTGTCCCAGGTACAACCTGCTCCATAAGGACACGGATTTAGGCGTAGCACCTGTACCAGAGCCTTGTGCTGGCGCAACTTTTTTTTGGTCGGGGTGGAGGCAACTGGCACAATGATGAATAACGTCATTTGAAAGCTTTCAGCTTGGAAGAAACAAAATGTCACGAGAGTTTGGAATGGTTGCGCTTCACAAGAATTCGGAATGGTTGCGTGGTATATGCTTCTTGCATTGTCTATTTCTCAGCTGGCAGCTGTTGCATGCGTCGTCTGTGCAAAGTGCAAGGTTGATGCGTCTGTGCGCTACGATGATTGATACCTGCTGCCATCGAAATATCATGCTCTTGCCGCATCTGCTGGGGACAACGATCACTCTTACCCCTGGCCCATCTTCTGTAGCCTCTAGATGACTGACGTTTTTTACTGCTGCCGTTGATGCTGTAGGCTTTCCGTGGTACTTGGTACTGCTATTGCTGCTGAGGGGGTTGAGAAAGGTACTCACTTGCTGAGTTGCCGGAGAGTCTTTCGGTGTGTGAGTGCAGCCCGGTGAGCATGTGCAAGTGTGTCGACTATGTGGCCGCACAGAGGACTCCTGTGTGTCATGTGTGTGGCCTCTTGGTGTGTGCAAGTGTGTCCTGTGTGTGGTCATTCTCACCTGTTTGTGGTCACACATAGGACTCCTTTGTGTCCTGTGTGTGTCTACTTGGTGCATACAGTGCACAGACGGGTGAACTTCCGATTGAATCTGAATGGATATGGAATATTATGGATGGGATTGGAACTCAGATGATCCTGGTGATTGTTTATACAACACACGCACACCATCAAACTACGCAAGTAGCATATATATATGCAGGCCCTCTTATGGCATGCCCTCTCTACAAAACGGGCTGGACTCGAAGAAAGTTTGTGTGTAGAAGACATGTTGTCTGTGTCATATATGTGCGGACGAGGTGCATGCACAGGTTAAATGCGGACCTGTCTTGTCCAGTCTCCATGCTCTTTCTGACACTTGCCTACACACTCGTTCGGCCCGCCCTTCTGTGGCATGGCCGCTCTGCAGGTTGGACTTGGAACTTTTTCTGCTGGTGCATCCACGGGTCACACACGTCCGCTCTGTCCTCTTATGGCATGCCCTCTCTGCGGAAGCGGCTGGGCTTTGAAGTTTCTCTGCGTTTGTATGAGGATGCCATCTTGCCTGTGATATATGTGCGGACGAGGTGCATCCACAGGTCAAATGCGGACCTGTCTTGTTCAGTCTGTCACCATAATCATTCACCATCGGGAATGGACTGCATGTTTACTGTTTTGTTTTTTACTGTTGTGTTGGTGTGATTGAGGATCTAATTGGCTCCTCGCTTGTCCCTTTTTTCCTTCCATCTGCGCTCTCTTCTTCTTCCTTCCATCATTTCCAGTTTCGGGTGCCGAACTGCAAAATGCAAACAATAGAGCATCATTAAACCGCCATTACCTTTCCCACATGTCGGCCGCGGGCGGGCGGTTTCAGAAGGCCGAAACGAAAACAGGGCCGCGGATTCGATTGATCAACGGTGGCCGTCCCCTGCTTGGGCCCTGCATTACCCGGTGCATCTTGGCGAAATAGCTGGGAAAGGTACTGGTGGTTTTAGAGAACACACGTGAAAGGCTGCAAAGCTGTGCTACGTAAGGCAGACGGGTGAAAATGCACCTGGTCCTCGAGAACATAAATATGTGTATGCCTGCACACCACGGAATTTGGCACCAAACTGAGATTCCGCTACTCAATAGAAAGATAGTTCGAAAAAGGAAGGAAAATCAGGTTGGAAGACTTTGGAAAACATGTGTTTCTGTACGTATGTATCGAACTGGCGTGATTGTGGTGATTGAAAAGAAAGACAGAAAATGTGCACTGCGATGGGCCACCTGTGATTCGGCTAGCATGTGATGGGGCATGCTTCGTGTTGTGAAGTTCATGCGGGTAGAGAACATGCAATGGGCATGCTTCATATAGTGGAACTGCCTGTGACAGAAGTTTTTTTCCCTGCTTTGAATGCGTTCCAGCTGGCGCTC